TATATATATATATATATATACATATCTATTTAATTAATATAAATTTATTGCAGTTATCAATTAGAGTGAGAATGAGAATGAACGTTGTTTCGTGTTCGTTTAGATTAGTAAAAGAAAATCAAAGAAAATAGAGGAAAAATAAAAATAGAAAATCGAACGGATGACACGGATTTTAAATCGAACTGTTTGAAAATTTTTTCATTAAATCGAATTAATTGAATTACACGATACTATTGAAACATTATTAATAAATTAAACAGTTCGTAAATATAATATAAATCAAAATGATTGACATTAGTATTATTCCTGTATTTATTCTAAAATAAATACTACTATCATTTATAACAAATAGTTGTTCAAGTAAATGTCTGATAAGTGTTACAGTTTACTATTTTTAAATGTCACTCACTATATATATACGGTTTTTATCTTAAAATAAAGAACAATTCATCTGAGAATAGATACGAATGTGTGTATGTTCATGTGTATGTATGTGTGTGTGTGTGTGCCAATACATAGACGTTTAAATAAATGGAAAAAATATAAAAGGACAAAGTTGGAAGATTTCCTTTAGTTCACCAACGTAGTCATTTCTCACTGCAATTATTATTATTTTTATTATTATTTTTTTTTAATCTTTGTGTCTTTGACCTATATTTCAACTTTCTTTTGTTATTTTTAACATTGGACATACAATAGAAATAAAAAAAAAAGCAAGGAATAATCAACCATACAGTTATTGTGTTGATTATGGTGGTGAAGGTGCTAAGTTTACGAATAAAAATATATATAATAATAATAATTATTATTATTTTTTACATTGACATAATAAAATAGAAATAAAGAAAAGAAAGTAATAATCAACTCATACAGTTATTGTGTTGATTATGGTGGTGCTAAGTTTACGAATAATAATAATTATTAATAGTATTATTTTTAACATTGACATAATAAAATAGAAATAAAGAAAAGAAAGTAATAATCAACTCATACAGTTATTGTTTTGAATATGGTGGTGAGGGTGCTAAGTTTACGAATAAAAATAATAATAATAATTATTATTATTATATATTAACAATGTTATAAAATAGAAAACATTAACATAACATTATTAACATTGACATAATAAAATAGAAATAAATAAAAGAAAGAAATAATCAACTATACAGTTATTGTTTTGATTATGGTGGTGAAGATGCTAAGTTTACTAATAAAAATAATAATAATTATTATTATTATTTTTAACATTGACATAATAAAATAGAAATAAAGAAAAGCAAGAAATAATCAACCATACAGTTATTGTTTTGATTATGGTAGTGAGGGTGCTAAATTTACGAATAACACAAAAAATCAAAAAATAATAATAATAAAAGATTATTATTCTAATGTAAACTTTTATTAATTTATCTTAGAGTATACCACATGTGTATACATGTACGTATTAATACTACATGTATGTGTGTTTGTGTTGATAAGTAAGGTTATGTTTAACAAACCGTATAATTAACGAGCATGTTATATATTTATGTTATTAAATGAATTATATTACAGACAAATTATAAATCGTATCTTGATCTGAGTCATATCATAGTAATTTTAACACCTACACGTATTTTTATTCGTTTTATAAATATTCTTTAAATATATATATATATATGTGTGTGTATGATGTATGTGAGTATGTGTGTTTCTCTGAGTGTGTGTTGAAGATATTTTATACGAAAGTATACAGTAAAATTATATTACTAATATACATCTGTTGGTGGATTTGCGTAAAGTTATCTAATAATAGAACACGGATATTCTAGAATCTTGAAACTATCTTTCTGAAAGTATCTTTTTCAGTCTTACGTAGATTTTCCTAAAGTCAAGTACGTTCAAATTCACGTTGTCTATCTTTTTCTTTTTTTACTAATTTTTTTTTTTTTACAGAGAGTATTTAAGAGACTAATAAAGTATATATAATATACGTATTGTTATTGGTGTATATGTTAATAATCTGTATAATATTACATAACAACGTCATAATACTTCAAATTTATTATAGAAATATTTTTTAATAATTTTCTTTGTTTTTTATTTTATTTTATTTTGAAGGTACAGTAAATTATCAATTTATTAATTCTATTTTTATTTTTTATTTTTGTGTGTGTATTAGTACTTTAATTTTCTATCATAGTCATTATATTTATATTATTATTATTATTATATTAATATTAGTTATATTTTATTATTTTATTAATATTAATTAATATGTTATTAATATATATATATAATGTAATATTACAATATTATATTATATTATATTATATTATATACATATGTATATATAATATAGTTTGATTTAATAATATTATTATTATTATTATTATTATTCCAAGAATTCATTTTTCAATATTTAATACTCAAATTTATTATATATTACAATTAAATCTTTGTCATCTATCTCAAGTGTGTCTGTTTATCTATGTGTCTGTTTGTTTGTGTGTCTGTGTGGGTGTATATATTTATAGATGTGTTCGTTAACATGTTCTAAATATTTTGTTAAACTTTCCAGTTATTATATTACACTTTTGTATAAATTCTAAAAAGTATTTTAAATACGTGTTACAATACTTGCAACATAATAATGATGAGAAAATGATGATAGAATGTTGACATGAAACTATTTTTAAAACCGTAAATTCCGTTTTTAATAATATATACGGTCTTAAAAAAAAAGAAAAAAAAAAAACATCTTAAAATACGCGAACATTTTCTTCATACCATCACCAGGTGTTACGAATTATTATTATTATTACGGCAACAACGTGCATAAAATTCTCATTTCTCCTAACTTGTCGAAATTCCATTCTAACGGTAAAAAAAAAAAAAAAAAAAA